TTGAGTCATGTATAAATGGAGGTCTTTGGGGGAAAGAATGGATCTCGAGTTAGAAACCATTCTCTTTCCTTAAACTTTTTTCAAAACCAGTTTTTCTGGAAACCCCTTGTATATAATAGAAATCTTGTATAAATCATTATAGAAATAAAATCCCAATCTTTTGATATCAGAAAAATATGAGTTTCTAAACTTCCTATCCCATAAATTCTTGATAGATTGAAGAAGATAATTTTCTTCTTACTTTAACAAAGAGAGAATTTTCTTTACTTAAGATCTTTACTCTTAATTCTAAGAAAAGATACAGTGAGGGCAGAAGTTGAAATAGCAGAATTTTCATTAAGGCAAAAGGCCGTTTGAGGGAGCAGTTTGCAGATTCAGAGCTTGAAAGTCACTCGGTTCTAAGAATACAGATTTAAGATCGAAAGTAAGGTAAAATTATTGTCTTTGTTAAATCTAGAAAGAATTCTTCTAATATCTTGAAAGAATCGTAGGGATTATTATTTTTCATGTTTGCAAAAACTTATCTAACATGTTATTATTATTCATAAAGCTTGCAAGGAATTATCTGAATTATGCCAGGTTATACAATTAAAGGATTAGATAATCTGTTAGAAAAACTATTAATGAAAATAAGAAATATTTTTGCTCAACTAGAGACTATGGATATTTCATCTAAGGAATATGATAATTTTAGTGAATTAAATGACAATTATATTACAGATTATGCTAATTTATTAGATCAAAGGATGAAACTATATATTAAAACTCGAAATGAAAGAAATAGAGGAATTTTAAAACTATCCCAATAAATTAAGGATATCTTGTGCAAAATATGACAAATCCTTTCATTAAGGGTATTATAGACATTTTACCAAAAATGAATAGTGGCAGGTCATTTAGAAAAATCTCCCTTCTGAAATGTGCTGTCCAGTGCATGTATCACTCGTCCATAGGGGCGGACGCAGAGATTCTTAGTTAGGGGCACAATCAAAATATTTACAAATCGAATATTTTGTTCTTGATTTTAGAATTATTTATAATTAAGCGAGAAAATTTAGATTTACATTTAAAAAATATTTTTTCATTAATATTTTGTTCATCATTTTCATCCATTTGATTTCGAACAATTCATTTTATTAATATTTGCTCATCATAAGAAAATAAATATTTAAATTTCAAAAATTTATAGTGTATTTAATATAAACAATCAATTCAAATGATCAAAAGAAAAAATATATAACTAATATTCAATCAAATAAATAGAATTCTTTAAATATAAGTTAAATTGGATATAATCAGTCTAGTCACATTCTATGTACACAATTAGGGTAAAAGAAAATGCAAATTTAGGTTCTAATTAATTGAAAATTTGATTGGAAAGTAAAAAAATTTTAGTAGATTTTATAATTTAAAGAAAAATTATGAACAAATTTTAGAATATTAGAAGGGTTAAGGTTTTGGTAAAAGGTGTTAGGGTGAGCGTAAGACAGAGAAAGAAAAAGGAGAAAAAAATTTCAAATTTATTGTGATTTTGCCCATGTTGGGTGGAGGTTAAAATTAAATTTTTAGTATATTTTGATAAAAGTTAAAAAATTAAGGATTCCGTGATATATATTTTTAAAATAAATTATTAACTTTGATTTATATTAAAATTTAGATTTCAATTGATATCAAACAGAACCGTGATATATATTTTTAAAATTAATTATTAACTTTGATTTATATTAAAATTTAGATTTCAATTGATATCAAACAGAACATATCCCAAAAAAATATAAATAAATAAATCAAGTCTCAAAAGTTGTGGGGTCACATGACCCCCTAGGACCCCCTTGGGTCCGCCCTCGTCCATGGAGTTAGTTTCTTAACATATCCCCTGTTTCTTCACGATCTTGCATTTTTTCTGTAATTTTTTTCACTTGAGTTGTTTTTCAATATACACGTGTACATGCTTGTATCCTTTCTGCAATATATTCATATAATTCTGTTCAGTTGCACTAAAGAGAGTAGCTCGAGGAGCTTTTCATTGAAGGAGTTGTAACGTTATCTTAATTGAAAATGTTGCCTCATATATACTACAAAATGTATACATATCTAGCTCATAAGTTTCTGTTTGCAAGAGAACAAATAAAATAACAGTAATAATCTTTAGTAATACAAAAAGGATTCAAGGAAAACCCATAAAAGTTTTGTTTCTTTGAATGCATAACAACATATGAAAGAAAAGACCCATAGGATCAAAGAAATCCAATGAAAATCTTTACGCTAAAACCAACAATGAATAGACTAGTTAGCTTTGAAGATTTTTTACATCATTACTGATTACTTCGATATCATTTTCTATTTCTATTTCAACTTGTGTCGTGTACTCATTAACATCTCTACCCCTCAAAATAGAATTTTTTTTCCTTCCCTAAAGGCGTGTTCTTTTGTCCTTGTTGTTGTTGCTACTGCTGCATCTCTATTCGTAGAAAACCCGCAAGCATACGAGATTGTTGTACATTTGTAGATGGATATTATAAATAAATTTTTTTATATTTAATTTTTTAATTCTTTTTCTTTATGTTGAACTTAATTTCTTCAATTTTAATTAAGTAATATTTATATGTTTTATATTTAATTTTTGTGACTGTGTTTAGCTTTTCTTATATATTTTTTGAAAATTATTTTAAGTTTTTTTTTTCTCATTATAAGTGAATTTGTTTGTTCGATTTTAAATTCTTTTTATTCTTTATAGAATATATAATTATTATTATCATAAAGAGAAAAGAATGAAAAAAATTTTAATCGAAAAAAAATTATTTATAATATGAACAAAACAAACTTTAAAATATAAGAAAAAAAATTCTGTTAATAGATGAAGATAATTTCTCCATCCACGGAGAGATTGTGGACTGTGTATGGATGGAGAGAAACTCTCCTTTCAAAGGAGAGAGCTGTTCGTGAATTCTCTCCTTTCGCGCTCCATCTCACGGAGAGATATCTCCATTTCAAGAGAAATTTTCTTCTTTATTTTTTAATTTGTTTTGTTCATATTATAAATAATTTTTTTCAATTTAAAATTCTTTTTTCTTTATGTCAAAACTTAATTTTTTCAATTTTAATTAAATAATATTTATATATTCTTTATTTAATTTTCGTAACTTTCTTTTATTTAATAATTTGTTTTGTTTTTATTATATATATATTTTTTAAAAAATTGTTTTAAAATTTTTTTCTTCATATTATAATTTCTTTTTCGATTTAAAATTCTTTTTAATTCTTTTTGTTTTATGATAAAAGCAATTTTTTCAATTTTAATTAAACTATATTAATTTTTAAGTTTTAATTATTTTAATTTAATTAAAAAATTTATAATATATATATTTTTTATTTTCCATTTCCTTTTTTATCCTTTCAGTACAAAACAATATCATTTTCCTAAGTTGAATGACAAAACGATCCATTTCTTCCATTCATATAATAAAGAATTGAATATATTTTATAGATAATTATAGAAAATTATCAATTATTTTATTAATAATAATTAAATCTTGATCAATGTTATGTTCACTCCTTACCTTAATGTTTGAGATGAATTTTATTTTTCTTTCCAAAAATGGAAAGAAAAAAGATAGAGATGCCTCTCTCTAAATACAGGGAAAGAGGAAATGACATATTTCTATAAAATTACTTATTTGTGATCATACTGGTCGCAGGGCGCTTTTATAAATCCTGTTGGTGGGTATTAAATTCAGTTTTTTAGTAGATTTTAATAAATATTGGTTGAAAAATTGTGAGTCTTATAAAATGTGTGGTTAAAATTAATTGTCAACTTTAATTTAATTTAAAATTTGAAAATCTGAAGTCTAATTTGCACCAAATAGGAGCATATGAATGTCACATATATTTGATACGGTCACAGTACTGGCACCTCCCCAATTTACAGTTAGCACAATATTTTCTAGAAGGTTTGTAAAGATAATTTGGTTGATCCAACAAAATAATGTCACTTCATGTGTTATTTGAAGAGTGATGAAATATAAATCTTTCGATTTTTTCCTGTGAACTCACATAGAATTGCATTATATTCCAGAATCTAATATGTTCTAATTATTAACCTTTCTCATTTCTTAATGAAACATCAATTCATCTCTCCATTTTCGTTGAAAAGGCAGACGTGGAGCAATGAGAGAGGATACAATCGGTTTAAATGATTTTGCATGTTATTGAAAATTTTTGAAAAAAATTCATTAAGTTATTTTCTTAATACTGCACTAATGGTTATTTTGCCAAAAAATATAACTTTAAATCCTATAAAATCATATGATAAAATCAAATTTTTTTTAAAAGCAATTTTTTACTAGCTTGGCGTAGTAATTACTTAGATGCGTCGTGCAGGATTCAACATTAATTCTTTTGACCAACTGATTGTTATCGTAATATGTGAATATTTTAGTAACTATTATTGTAAGAAAATAATTACAGCGATCATTGATGTAATTACTCGCCATATCAATAAAATTAATATAATTAACCCTCCATCTTAATTATTAATAATTATACAAAAGGCTTGTTTGGTAGTGATTACGAGAATTATTTTTTTGACCGTTAAAGAGAAAAGTGGATTAAAACTGTGAGTGAAGAAGTAAAAATTGATAACTGAAAAACTGAAATAACGATAAAAAAAATTGCTACAAAATAGGGACATAATAATTTGGATTCGTTCAATTTTTGATATACTGATCTGTTCACTGTTAAATCTACTGAACCACAGTCCCACAATGTGGGCCCGTCTCCATTTCCTTTCATGTTCGGCCATGTCTCTTCTATCATCATCAATTTTTTACTCGGATATTTTTTATATTATTTCCCATCACTATTTCACTATCAAAATACAGATATCTGAAAATTTACGTCCATTTATCTCGAAATACATCTTGCAACTCGGATTCCTTCCAATTCCCTAAAATTTCAGCGCTCCCAAGGTATGCAGTATGCTTGTTTGTTTTAAATTTCTACTTATAAAAATTTGAAATTTTCATTTCAAGGGATTTCGGCTTTGATAATTACTTTCCATTTTGATATTGATTTTAAGAAGTTTTATTAAATTGAATTCCACGGGAAGTTTAAGACATATTCGATTTCCACAGAAAGTAATTGATTTTTTCCATAGGAAGGAAGTAATAAATATCTATCTAGACTTGATTGAATTCCCGGAAAGTTTTGAATTTACTATTTCCTGGGCTTTCCGCTTTATCAATTACTTTCCATTTTTATTTGGAATTTATTTGAATTGATTTCCAGCAGAAGTTAAGGGAAATTCGATTGTGCATAGGAATTATTGATTTTTCTCTGGACAGTTTTCCGTAGATTTGATTCTCTGGTGAACTGGAATGGCGCTTGCTTATCCTCGTTCTCGATCTGAGCTATTTATTGGGGATTCATAATTATGTTGTGTATATTAAGAAGAAGGAATAAAAGGTAAATGGATTTCGGCAGGGAGGTGCCGGGACTTGAATTTGGTGAAGATAATGAGGTAAACGGTACCATTTCTGGCTCAGAAAAATTGCATAGTGATGATGAAACCAAGGTTCTGAACAACGGATGTGTGGTGGAAAATATATACCCTAATGAGCTATCTTCCGAGGGGACAGGAATGGGAACTGAAGTTAGAGGGTTGGTGAATTTGGCAGATGCGGATGTGAAACCTGAAATGTCGCCTTCCCCGGCAACAACGAAGAAAGGAAATAGGTTGAAGAAATGGAAAAGGATCAAGAGGGACCCCAATAAGGTTGGGAACAATAGTGTTGATGCTGCCAAGATGGTTACACAGGATTTGTCAGATTCAGGTACAAATTCGAGCAAACGGATGCAAGTTTTTGACGACAGGAACCAAAGAGGGCAGGGGTCTGTTTCATCAACAAATGCAAGGAATCTTGATGGTTTTGCTACGCTTGGTGATTATAGGTTGTCAATTGGACCAACCTTTGCTGCTGGAAACGATTCAGAGAATAGCGAGGATCGGAGCAGCAAGTCCTCCACGACAACCAGTGCTCCAAGGGCGAGATATGAGATGCCAGTGGTTGGAGGATTTCCGCGCGATAAGAGCAGGATGAGGAGTCTGAGTGGGAAGAATTTGGGCAACTCAGTGCGTGGTCAGAAGGGATGGGGACGCATTGAGACCAGTAAGAAGGCTGAAGGAGAACGTGTCAAAATCGAGAAGGAAAATTCTCGTTCCAGCGTGGAATCTGACTGTCGAAGCTCCAACTTTCTCCTTATGCAGGGAAATGACACTGCAACGAGTAAGGGGATTCTAAGTGGAAAATCAATGAATTATGATGAAGAAAATGGTGGTGAGATTCAGGCTGGTGAAAGGAAAGTCAGTGATGGGCTTCGAGGTGGTTATGATAGGAACAATGGCAGAAGATTTGAAGATGTCTCTCACGAAGATTTAGTTGCCAACTCATCTTGGGAGGCTAAAGAAGAAAGAAGTGGGAACCATGAGAACTCAACAGGTTGTTATCCTCTAGTTGAATCCATCTTTGCACTTCAATCAGCACAAGAAGCACTTGAAAAAGGTGGGCGCACCTTCTCCATTTGCCTTGTTTGATAATTATCTTGTTTGCTTAATTATTTCTCTATATATCAAACTCTATGTTTGCAATAATAATAGAGTAATATGATAATTTGGCATGCGGAATCTTTTTCAAGAAATGCAGTTTGCATTATCTGGAGATGGCTTTAAGTTATTGTCACAAGATCTAAACCAAGAGTGAGGGATTACGAGGACTTTATAATCCCTTTTGGGGGAAAATGTGAAGTTCATCTCCGAGAGAAAGTATATTTAAACATTAAATATAGTAGACCCTTGTAAGATCATATTATTCCCCATAGCTGTACTGATTTATCCGAACAATTTAAAGCATCAGTTTAAGGTTAAAAATTAACAAATTAATTAAAAGGATTATAGGATATTTGTTCTTCAAGTGCATTTCTAGTATATGATCTTGCGTGAGTACTACTTTTATCCTTTTCTTCTGATGTAGAATAATAACTCTGGTTTGCTATCATCAGCTTGTAAATGCCTGACCTTGCCTGGATGCCTGAATCTCTTACTTCCATTTAGTAGACTCTGCATTTCTTCAAATTTGGAGATAGCTTTAAATATTTAGCCCATGTTTGACAACCATTAAAATGAAACTCTTTTTCTCAAATTCATTTTCAACCACATATCTCACAATAAATTATTTTTTATGTAAACTCAGAACTTTTTTCTACTTTTTAACCACTCATTCCTCAAAAATTGTTTTGTGACTTTCTATTGCAATACTATGTGCCACGTCTAGTGGTGTTTAGAAATGTAGAGAAATAGAGAAAAAGATGAGGAATAAGAAGAGAAGAAAAAGGGAAGGATAAGAAGTGTTTAGGGGAAGAAGACATCAATATTTAATCTGTCAATAATAGTTTGAGCACAAAAAATTATACACCCTATTTATAAACAAAAGAATTCCTAGTGAATAACAATTATTAAAATGATAAAATCCTGTCTAGTAAAACCATTGATATCTAATTTCAAATCAAACTTATCTTCAATCATAATCTTCTAAGAATCTAAGTTTTCCCTATCCTTATCTCCATCACACAGTGCTTGGGCAAAAAAAGGGAACAACAATTGTCCATAATGCCAATTCCTTCATACATCATTGGTGATTTATTATAGTTTCTACGAGTAGCTTTGTTGAAGAACCTACTGCTAAACCATTTATTGTTCCACAATTGTCTTAGGATTGTGGCTGCATCTAATCCTGATTGCTTCTTCTCGTGGCTAAGAAAGGATGGTAATGGCGATAAAACTTGTTGGCTTGCCTTTCGAATTAAAAAAAAGAAGAAGCAAAAAGCGCAAGAAAAGAAGACTGGAATAATGAATTAAGAGAATACATATAGCATAATATGTGATATTTCGTATATTCCTATTTGCCATAACATCTATGCAGCATGTGCTTCTCCTTCAGAATGATTTGTGCTGATAAGCTTTGATATGTTTGCCTCTTTTAATTCACCCCTGATTTGTGGCCTTATTGTTCTCTCTCTTTCTAGACTGCACCTGGTGTCTTGAACTTTTTTGGTTATTTCGTTTTTGTCCCAGTATCTGCATCTTTGTTTGATTGTACCTATTTAATTAGTTTTTCTGCTGGGAGACCAAGGATGTTATCGTATTCTTTTTAACGCAACACGGATTAGCAATCTTCCTTGTCCTTTTTGTATTTGTTTTTCATGCTTGAGATTTTTATTACTAAATGGGTCGATGTCTCTACAGAGGTTCAGAAGTTTAGGGAAATTGGTGGAGAAGATGTCTCGGTTGATGATTTTCAAGATTTGCCTTCAGAGTTCACTTCAGTTGATACAAAATTGTACAAAACAAGCTCCTCTGAGCAGGTATACTCTTGCAAGCATGTGCATAGTTCTTTCCATTCCTTCTACTCGGGGGTAAAAGAAACACCAAACATGGACATGGATATTGAACTTGAGGACCTCTTTAAGCGAAAGATTGAAGCAGAAGTTGAATATCTGGTAATATCAAGAAATGCTCAGATTTTGAGAGTTGCTTCAGTGGATCATACTACCCTTCTGGAAGATCAAAATACTAGAGCTTCGCAGCAAACCCGGATGCTGAACGAGCTTGGAGATACTGATGACATTAAAAGTGCTGCTGTGGACGAAACATTGAAGATGCAGAGAAGAGTATGCAAGTACACCTCATGTTTTTTCATACAGTTACTACTGTTGGTAATTGTACTGGGAATCTTTATTTTCCAGTCTTCACAAAATTATGCCGGGATTGTTCCAACTTAATCTTTTCGAAAAGTCTCCCCCTTTTCCCTTTTCTTTTTCAAAAAAAAAAAAAAAAAAAAAAAAAAAAAAAAAAAAAAAAAAAAAAAAAAAAAAAAAAAAAAAATAATTCTGGCATTTTCATTATGTAGTAATTTCGTCCAGAAATAGATGTATAGATCAAGGCATTAGCTAGTTTTGTTAGTTTATTCAAGTTTCATCACACGGTGACGGATTCTGCTGCATTGAATTTGTGTACCTTAATTTTATTTCTTTAAGTTTGTGTTCACGCAGTATTGACAAAAAGAATAGTTTATTTTTATATATCTTGGCCTCTGCGTTTCCTTTAGCAAAATTGGTTGCAAGTATTTTGATTCCTTATCCAAACAAACTAATTGATACATATTTTTAACTATTTTACTATTAATTATTTCTTTCATTGAGTTTTTGTTTGACTACGAAGGCTTTCATCGAAAAAAAAAGAAAAGCTGAGGACTTCGAATCAAACTTAAAGTATTAAATTTAATCTAGTAGCCATTAGCTTGCTTTATGCAAATAATATCTAGGATTGATTTTGTATCGTGTGCTTCTAAGTAACAAGTTTTAACCAAGTCATTGGAAAAATTAGTTAAGTGTTTGCCTAACATTAAGTTTCTGTATGATTGGTTCGAATTCCATAGAAAATAGAATTCGAATTTTACATTTTTTCAATTTTGTGTGTTTGATATGTTTTATTTTCCATGGAATTATGTTTTCTTGAAAATAAATTCTAAGAATTATTGTAAAAAAATATTTTCCTTTAATTAACAATTTTCATATAAAATAAAGTCAAACGAATATCAAAAGATAAATGATTTTCTTGATTTTTTTTACAATGTAAACAAATTTTATTCCCAATATCAGTAAATTGAATTCCTTTAATTGACAATTTTCATATAAAATAAAGCCAAACGAATCTCAAAAAACAATTTTATTTCAATATTTTATACATGGAAAATTATACCAATCAAATACAAAAATTAATAATTTTCAGGAAAATAATTTCTATACAATTCAATTTCCTAGATTTCATTTTTTTTTCACTCAAATTCCATTTGTGCAATCAAACGAACCCTAAAAGAAAAATGAAACATTGAAAAAAAAATTATGGTCATATCAAAATAAATAGAACAGGGATGGCACCATATGAAATGAAAAAGGCGTGAACCTTTTGCTGTGAGATGCCTATAGATTTTGAGCAATTTCTTCGATGCTACACCGATCCACACTCCCAAAATTATTATTTTTTTTTTTTCAAAAATTCGATTAAAAATATATAAAAACAGTTGACCCTAATTACCGGCTGTCGAATATGGGTGGGCCTTGCATCATCTCTACTGAGCGTGCCACAAGATTTTAATCTTTTATCATCAGAATTCCTACCACTCATAATTTAATTGAATATTTTCATACAATTTGAACAAGACCTCTGCAGCATATTCGGTACGAGGATTGAATTGCATTTGAGATTGTTTATTATATTATTTATTTTTGTTTTGTTCAACTTATCAAATGTGTAACTAGCTATTACAGTAATGTACCATAAAATTTTACCATTTCTTCTTGATTAAATTAAGATTTCGAAAAGTTTAGTCAAATGATTTGACGATTCTCAATAATATTAAAATCCAAAATAATAATAGTTTATGCATTATCAAATTCCGTTTTGATAAAAAAAAAAAAAAAAAAAGTACCAAAATTGCAGCATGCTCCATTTCGTTTTGTTAAAAAAAAAAAACTTCTTAACAAATTTTCATAAAAATTGATAAAATTGCAACTCCACTGAAAATGAGTTTAAAACATTGTATGATTCTCGATTTTTCCAAAATACATTTTTCTTTCTGCTTTTAACCGTACATTCTTAAATAAAATAATGTTATACACAAATTCAATTTTTAATTTTTAGCCACATTTTTTGGTATCAATCTACTATATTAAAATGTATTTTTTCAATTTAGTGGGGCTCAAACAAGCTGTAAAAATTAGTAGCAAGCATATGCTGGACTTTGATGAATTCACGCCATTTGGGGTTGAAAATGGCATTATCTTGAAATTAAAGGATGCTTTTCATATTTACAATTGATTATAATCGACAAAATTTATCATCAAATCAAACTTTTCTTTTTCCCCAAAAATAATAATTTCTATGCCATCTTCTCCATTTTGGTCTCCCAAAGGTATTGATCTAACATATCTACTCCCCACGCCACCAACATCCCAAATCTGGGCTCTGGCCCCATTTCGCCACTGGATCTCACTTCCCTCCACCCCCTACCCACGGACTCTACAATATAAATGTATACATACATATATAGTTCCGAATCGACATATACATATAGAACTATACCTATACACTTGCAGAATCCATTTTTGAATGAGAAGTCTGTAAATTATAAAGTTTGGATTTTATTATTTTAATTGATGACTTCCGCCGGCAATCAGAACCCACCAGGCGGAGGTCCGTTTGATATGCTCAAATTATTCAAACCTTCCACTCCCCCGCCTCCCAATTCGACTACTACTGCAAACCCTAATCCCCAAAACCCCCATAATAATATTAATACTAGCACTAGTAACTCCATTTTGATTTCTTCCCCTTTTACACCCCCTTCAGCCTCTTATCCTCCGCCTACTGGCGGCGTTTCTGGCGCTGGGACATACTCATACCCACCTCAGAATTCCCCCTGGCAATATTTCAGTCATCCCCCTATGTATAGTACTCCTAGTCCTACACCACCACACCCGGACTCTGCTAATATGCACCCCCAGAGGTCTTTGTCTTATCTCACACCCACGTTTCAAGCGCAAGTTCAACCTCCTAATAGTTCCCACAACCAAAATTTCCAAGACCCCACAAATTCTCAGAACTCTAACAATCACGGACCGAGACTGATGGCCTTATTGAGTGCTCCGCCTTCCACCCTCGATGTCCCGCAGCAGACCCTCATGCCAATGCCCCAAATCCATCCAACTTCCTCTGCAGGCTCTGATTTTTCAGTCCCCCAGAATGCGCCTAATCTTGGGATTCCGCACCAGGGTGCCATGATGCGGATGCCAAGCAGCAAGCTCCCTAAGGGGCGGCATTTGATCGGGGATCATCTGGTCTACGATATAGATGTGAGGTTGCCCGGGGAGGTGCAGCCTCAACTTGAGGTTACTCCCATTACAAAGTATGGGTCTGATCCAGGTCTCGTTGTGGGCAGGCAGATTGCGGTTAACAAGAGTTATATATGTTATGGGCTTAAGTTGGGAGCTATCCGTGTGCTTAATATTAATACTGCTTTGAGATCATTGCTTAAGGGTCTATCTAAGGTTGTTTTTGTCTTAACAAGTGTGGTTTTATGTCCTTTTTATCATTAAGTTGAAACGAGGAATTGAGTCTATTATTTAAATAGTTATATACTTGATTTACTTTGATTGTTTTGGATCCCAGTGCTCAGCTTTGTGGTCAAACTGGCCTTGGGTAATTTATTGTTTTCTACTTGGTGCATTATGTTATTTATGGGCAACTAAAGGGATGATATAACAAATAGTTTTCCAATTACCTCGGGTTGAGAAGCAGGCAATCAATTCCAGAGTCTGAATACGACATGGATTGCTAGTTTCAGTCACTTGATAACAACTCATAAATATTATATGTGTTGATACATGAAGTTTTATTTTCCTTATATCCTATAGTTCTCAATATGATGTTCTGCACAAATTTTATTAGGATAAATTCATTCCTTTCCGAGTCTAGTGAATATTGTTTTCAGTGATATATTGTGGTATTGATCGGTGGTGAAAACGTGGAATTAACATTCTAATTTACAATGTGCCTGTGCACAAAGTAGTAATTTTGTTGAAAATGTCTTCTTTTAGTTGATATATAAATTGGCATTCGTAATTAACTTTGATTTACTGAAGTAATATGTTTTCTTTCAGAGGGTTACAGACATGGCTTTCTTTGCCGAGGATGTCCACCTTTTGGCTAGGTAGCCTCCTTGTCAGTTACTTTTGTAAATCCCATCTTTTGGTTTGTCTAATAGTCACATGTGTGTTATAGTGCAAGTGTTGATGGCCGGGTTTATGTGTGGAAAATTACCGAAGGTCCAGATGAAGAAGACAAGCCTCAAATTACTGGAAATGTTGCTATTGCCATCCAAATTACTGGAGAATGGGAATCTGTTCATCCAAGAGTTTGTTGGCATTGTCATAAACAAGTATACCAGCTTCCCATATCCACCCTTTTTTAACCTCCGTTATTTTCTTCCCTCTTTTGGCAGGTTATCTATCAATTTATTGGATGAATAATCTCATATGCTTTCTTACACAGGAAGTTCTTGTGGTGGGAATTGGCAGGCATGTTTTGAAGATTGACACAACAAAAGTTGGAAAAGGGGAAGTGTTTTCAGCAGAAGAACCCCACAAATGTCCCATTGACAAGTTAATTCATGGGATTCAGCTAGTTGGTAGCCATGATGGAGAGGTGACTGATTTGTCCATGTCACAGTGGATGACTACCCGTTTGGTATCTGCTTCTCTAGATGGCACGGTTCGTCATAATTTCCCCTCAAGGCTATCTGAAACTTGTTTTATGTCAAATCTTCTCAAACGCTCATGGGGAACAACACATAATAATTTTATCCTATTTCTTGGACATGATGAATTAAACTTTATTACTTATTCCTGGACAAGTAAGACTTTCGTAAAATTTATAACAAGACCTCTTCTATTCTGCTGTTTGACAGCCTAGAGTTTATTGTTAATTTTGACCTGAGTATGAATTGTAAGATTTGCAGATGGTGGTACGTAAAAGAACAATGGTCAGATATTGTAACTTAAGTATACTGGTTTGTGAGCTTTTCTTTCCCTTTTACCATTTTCTTTTGGCTAGAATTAGGACTGGATATAGTCCGGTTTGGTTCAATTCTACCGAATGGAACAAGAATTTTTGAGGATTTAGTAAGTGGAACCGTTGGATCTAAATTTAATTATGGAATCGAATCAGTTCGTTTAAGTCTTGTTTCATTTGGTTTCGTACTGTAATTAAATCTTTTAATATTTACAACAACACTACATTAATCTAACTACATTGAACACTAGTTATGAACTATAAAGTTTATAGATTGAGCTCGAGAAATTATTAGAAATGAATGATATGAAGCTTACCTTGATCATAGTGGAAAAATTTCGTGAATAGGGTAGAAAAAAGAGTAAGATAAAGACAGTTGTAGCCAATTAGCTTCGATTATTTGAGAAACAGCATAATGATTGAGAAAAATTTAGGTTGCTCAATTATGCTTCTTTGAAATTTGAATTACAAAGTTGATCTTGAGCTGAATACAGGAAAATGATATTTTTGGTTCAGTTAATTAGTTGGCAAATGAAACAGGAAAATGTTATTTTTTTGCACAATTAATTAGTTCGGAAATTTATGTAGAAAAAAATTATTATAATTTGGCTTATTTTATATATAAAAAAATTAGGAAGATTTAGTTTTTATAGAATCAATAAACCAAATTAAATATGTCGGTTCTTGATTTTGATATCCGTTCGGGTATTTAACTCAAGAAGAACAGAACCGCTCAGTATGGGGGTGGTTGGGGTCGGGAGTTTTCTTCAGCCCTGGCTAGAACTCTGTACAATTGTGGCTTTTGCGATAAAATTTCCTATCATTTTCCCCAAAATTTAAGGTTCTAAAAATTTGCATGTTTACCCAACTTTATTACAGGGGGGATAATACTTAGTTCATTTTGGTTTACACAGAATGATTGTAATCATTCAGATGGTGCTGCTGGCATCTCAACAGATCAAAAGTTGATTAATATAGATTTTTTTCCAATTAAGCAATTGAAATATTTATACCAAATGGTGCACAAGCTGTAGTTTCAGAACCAGTGAATCATGTTGAGGAGAAAGTCCCAACTCTGTATGTGGTGTTTGTGAATTGTCACTGACTTTGATAATATCCCCTGATTTGAATTGCTGGATAGCTGAATATCAATGCATGCTTTAATTCTATCATGATTCTGCTGGCATACTTGGAATATCTAGACAAACAATTTGTAAGCCTTTTACTCACTCCTGCTTGTGATTGCAGATAAAGATTTGGGAAGATCGCAAATCGCTACCAATTGCAGTTCTCCGGCCACATGACAGCCAACCCGTTAATTCAGTCACATTTTTGGCTGCTCCGAATCGTCCAGATCACATTGTACTTATTACTGGGGTATACACATCTGAATATCTTTCTTTCAGCGCTTCTTTAAATGTCTATAGTAAAAGTTGCAATGCGATTCTTCAAGGGGTATTCTTTATTGTCAGCAGCATTAAAAATGAAATCTTTGCTGTTTAGAATTAATTGATAATTATTTATGTGCCCGCTAGTCTGCCATCTGGTCATTGACTCATTTCATCTCTGAAGTTTCTGTCTTTATTTATGTCAAATACGCTGTTGCTTCGGATTGTCTCTACTGTATTTGACGTTTTTAATAATATATTCAGGGTCCATTGAATCGGGAACTGAAGATATGGGCATCAGCAAGTGAAGAAGGGTGGTTACTTCCTAGTGAGGTTGAATCATGGTGCTGTACTCAGACATTGGAATTGAAGAGTTCGGCAGAGGCTCAAGTGGAAGAAGCTTTCTTTAATCAGGTTGTAGCTTTGTCGCATGCTGGACTTCTTTTGCTGGCAAATGCCAAAAGAAATGCTATATATGCTGTGCACTTAGAATGTGGTCTTAATCCAGCATCAACACACATGGATTGCATAGCTGAATTCACTGTCACAATGCCAATACTGAGTTTTACAGGGACGAGTGAATTACTACCTCATGGTGAACAGATTGTTCAGGTGTATTGTGTCCAGACTCAGGCCATTCAACAGTATGCTTTGGCCTTGTCACAATGCCTGCCACCGCCAATGGATAATGTAGTGTTTGAGAAGTTGGACTCTAGAATCTCGCACGATGCTGCTACTATAGAAGGACTTACCAATTCAGGGCCTTCTGGTAGTAAATCTACTGAAACACATTTGTCTAGTTCAACAACTAAACTATCTGAACATGAAAGCGGCTCAGAGAGTGTATCTTCATCGAGATACCCCATCAATGCTGCTTCTGCTGAATCACCCACCGTTCAAGAGTTCTCTACTTCGAGTATGGAAACCAAACCAGTTCCTTTATCTGTAGTGACTTGTAGACCTAGTGCTGCTTCTGTTGCTTCTCCTCCACCTCCCTTGAGCCCCAAGTTGTCCAGGGAACTTTCTGGTTTTAGAAGTCCATCAAGCTGCTTTGAGCCTGTTCCGGCAGTGAATGATCATGATGCAGATCCTAAAGTCATGGAATATTCAGTTGATAGGCAAATGGATGCTGTTCATGCAAAATCGTCTGTTGCTACTTTAATGGACGGTGATTCAATAAGTGATGAAAATAAACTTTCTCAAGATGATATTTCCACATCTCCCGACCATTGGAGTAAGTTTAAGCACCCAACTCATCTGGTAACTCCTGCTGAGATATTGATGGCCAGTTCTTCAGAAGTGAACCGTGTTAATGAGCCCAAAAGAGACCCTGAACTAAATATTCAGGATGTAACAATTAGCAATGATAAAAAAATTGTGGAGGTGGAGGTCAAGGTTGTAGGTGATGGTCAAAATAATGATATTGGTTTGGAGGAACGTCACAATTTTGGTTTGGAGAACAAGGAAAAATCCTTTTATTCTCAAGCATCTGATCTAGGAATTGACATTATTCGAGAATGTCAAACGTTGCCTGATGCTATAGTAGAGGAAACTAGGCAGTTAGATGGGATTGGTGGAAGTGAGTTGGTGACCCAACATTCAACTCTAGATGAAGAAGTCCAAGACTCTACAAAGGAATTATCTAGGAAGGTTATCGATTCGTCAATACCAATGCCTGTTCAGCAACCACCTGCACCAACTACAAAAGTCAAAAGACATAAGGGAAAAAGTGCTCAAGGAACACGTCCGTCTTCACCTTCACCTAGTGCTTTCAATTCTACAGATTCTTCCAATGAGCGAGGCATCAGTTTAAGTAATGCTTCTGTAGAAACTGCATTTGCACAAATTTTATCCATGCAAGAGATGCTTAACCAGGTGATTTGATTGGATCTTATTTCTCCAACTTTGTCTTTTGGATTTTAGTATCTTATCTTCCATGTATACATATAATCTGAATAATTATACTCTAAGAAGTACCGATACTTGTAAACTTGTTACGTACCCATATCCGATACGTATCTAAGCTCGGATACTCTTTGATACCATCTGATACTTGTCGAATACTTATTTTTCAATTATTTTATATATTATTATATTTTTAAAATTTTCGATATGTATCCGATACTTTTTTTTAATTATTTTATATTTTTGTATAACTTTCGATGCATATCCGATATTTCATGGTTCATTTGCACTGTTTGCAAAACATTGCTTTTAAAACTTCTTATGCAACCTTCTTCTTCATCTAGTACATTCGTGGTTCATATGCACTTTTTACAAAACACTTCTTTGAAACTTCTTATGCAAACTTCTTCTTCAGCTAGTGCTGAAAGAAATTGGATAATGTACTCTTTTGTGCATTCTATGAGAACGAACAAAATAACTCAACAATGAGCTGAAAAATTGATTTTCATTTATAGCAATTTACTTCTTTTATTAAGAAAATTAGATATCTATTCAAAAGAAGAATCCAAAATGTAGAACATTGTCGGAAACTCATTTGATACTTTTGAAGACGTTAGACTGCTTGAGGTTGCTAATCTATCATTAGATGAGATGGAGTTGGAGAATGTTATTTTTAATAATAATGAATAATTGATGTTGAAGAAAATGAATTTTCAGCAATTAATGATTAAGATAAAGAGCTTTATCATTTTATTTTATTTTTATCATTATGCTTCTGTATTATTGTTTTTTATATTAATAAAATTATGTTGAATTTTATAATATGTATCGGCGTATCCGTATCGTATCTTAATTACGTATCCATATCCGTGCTTCTTAGATAACCCTCGGTATTGATGTTATTTCATTTCTTGCAACAACTAGTGATCAATACATCATTCCTTGTACCTGGGCTTTACCTCAGAGTTTTTTTTTTTTATCTAGAAAGTATGATATATTGTTTGATTTGTCTATTTCTTTAATTTTTTGACCTATCACTGTTCTGGGCTCAGGAAATTTTGTTCTCCTGGAATCAGCTTTATTTTTGCACTGAAATTTTGTTTTTCTAATAGAGAAATTTTATGCATTCCTTGGCCTGATCCTATTCTTTGTCATTAATTTATTGTCTTACATTGAGCCAATTGTGGACTCAAGATTACTGGGATTGAAAGTATCCTTTTTTTCTGATTTGAGCCAATTACTTCTCTGTTACCTGACTAGGTTGTGCATCACATAGCATATGTGCAAGTATTTATTTACAATCAAAAGTAAATTGTCCATGATATATTTGTTGTGTGTGAACAGTTGCATACTCACCCTTACCTGCGTTTTTGTCAGCTTGTAGCTACACAAAAAGAGATGCAGAAGCAGATGACAGGGATGGTTGCTGCCCCAGTTACCAAAGAAGGCAGAAGACTTGAGTCAGCACTGGGTCGGAGGATGGAGAAAGCTGTTGAGGCCAATGCTGATGCTCTATGGGCTCAATTTCAGGAAGAGATTGCAAAACAGGAAAAGGCTTCATGGGATAGTACACAGCAACTGACAAATATGATAAATAATTGCTTAAACAAGGACTTATCATCAGTTGTAGAGAAAATTGTCAAGAAAGAACTTACTGCAGTTGGACAAACTGTAGCACGCACAATTATACCCTCCCTTGAGAAAACAGTATCCACATCAATCACTGAAGCCTTCCAGGTTGGCTTTTTCGTTTTTCTGTCTTCGTTTGAATGTCTTCTATTGTGATCTAATTGTATTCCAGATCCTAATTAATTTCATGTTGTCAGAAAGGAGTAAGTGATAAAGCTGTGAATCAACTGGAGAAATCAGTCAGCTCTAAACTTGAAGCCACAGTTGCCAGGCAAATCCAAACACAATTTCAAACTTCAGGCAAGCAAGCACTTCAGGTAAATAGACAAATAGAAATATAGAAATTTGATTCAAGCTTTGGAAAATATGTACCACGTTTAGGAAAGGATATTTAAAACAACATTTTGAAGTCTGCTGTCATGATGTTGAGCTTTAAATTTTTACTTTTCCCTTTTTGCTTGTGAGGCAAGAGAATGAATGTCGAAATCATTACTGCTTTATTTGCAGTGTCTTTTTTTGTTGAGGGTATAACTGAGAAGTCTGATAAATAAATAGTGTTCGTGAAACGATGCTCTTATTTTGGTACATTAAACGTTGGAAGGAGTAGGAAAACAATTGGAGTAATTAAATTAGCTTTATGCATGCTTGTAGAAAGACTTCTAATTACTTTTTGGAATTGCTTCTATTGCTTGTTAACAGTTGTATATTGTTTATTGTTTCTTTCCATGCTGGTGTCTGTATCTGCGTGTGCGGGCCTACTATATCCTTCTTTTTACCCTTTTTGGGCCGGAAAAATTTATAATTTTGTTATAAGTAGCAATTGCAACTAATTTTCTTGATACCGATCCCTGTGGGTTTCATGCTGTAATAACTGAATTACTTTTGGTGTTTAAATCAGCCCATTCCTTCTGTTGGATAGTTTAATATTTTCTGTTTCATTCAGAATAGTGATATTATTTGGCTTACCAATTTAGTAGCATATGTAAAACTTCCTGATTTTACATGTTATTTGGTAAACCTCTGTCTCTCCTCTCTTATGCTCTGCCCACAGCTAATATCAGATGTTGATATTAGCTTGTGTGGCTTAATGAATCTGGACAACTTTGATTTTTGTACTTTATTTTTAATTTTGTAATGCAGGAAACATTGAAATCCAGTTTGGAAGCTACTGTTGTACCTGCCTTTGAGATGTCTTGCAAGGCTTTGTTTGAGCAAGTTGATGCTGAATTTCAGAAAGGAGTAATTGAACATACAGCTGCAGCTCAGCAACATTTTGAGTCTTCACATTCACCATTGGCAATTGCCCTGAGGGTAATAATTTAGTTAATTTTGTATCTTTTTTCTCTTGCTAATTTGAAGAAGATTACCAAATCAGTTAGTCTATTGTCCTGGTGGTTTATTTAGTTTGTTATCACCCTACTTGTTTTAGGATGCTATTAGTTCTGCATCGGCCGTGAATACTCTTAGCAATGAGTTACTTGATGGTCAAAGAAAGTTGTTAGCACTTGCTGTTACCTGCACAAATCCCAAAGCACCAAATCCATTGGTTAGCCAACGCAATAATGGTCCCTTGGGCAGTCTCCATGAGAAGGTCTGCTCTGTTGTCCTCTTTTGTTTGGCTTTTTGGTAAAAGGCATTGCATTCTGTTACGATGGTTCTGTTTTCTGTTGTCAAAAGTATTTGTTGTTGCTATATGCATTCTGAATCGAGATGTTATTTTTTCAGCTTGAGGTACCTCTCGATCCAACAAAAGAACTTTCTAGATTGATCTCTGAGCGTAAATACGAGGACGCTTTCACTGCAGCCCTGCAAAGGAGTGATCTTTCTATTGTATCATGGTTATGCTCTCAGGTATGCCATATTTTGCAGTTGTCTACGCTTCGGATATGCTTTTATGAATCGTGCTTTGTAATGCTGTGTTAAGATCCGGATTTCTTGTCATGGCTCAAATATTAAGAAGAAAATTGTTGTTAATGAACTCAATGTTGCTATTCTTAACTGGATGCCAGACATGTTTAAGCATGTCATCGTCATTTAACAAATACTGAGGTGAACTTATTTCGTACAAATAGTGTTTTTTTAGTTAAATATTTCACTGACACCTGTGACAGTGCCCGTTGAATTATTTCCGGGTTGGAAAACAGAACATGGACTTTCAAATAAATTCCTCCATTTGTCTTTGCAAATTTAAAATTAATTCCCTTCTTTTAATATTGTGTATATCTACCAGTTCAAACTAAAATTTTACGTACTTCACTAGCCAAGCAATGTTATTATTACTTGTCTTGTGGAAATTCAGTATGTTGTGCATTTTACTGATTTGCAATGGGTAATTGGCGCAAAACGTCCCTACCTTTCAGTTTCATTGTGGAGAACGTCCTTACCTTTCATTTTTTGGCATTTTTGGCCCTCAAATCAACCTTTCGTTGCGATGAAGGTACTTCCGTCCAAGTTCCATCCATTTTGCCGTTAAGTAAAGAGAGAGAGCCATTATTTGTCCAGTCAGCAGGGGTAAAACCGTCTCACCCATTGAATCCCTTATTCCCGCCTTCTACGCAGTCCATATATATAACAGTTGCTGAAAAATGGTTGTGAAAATACTTTAAATTATTACATTAAATAAGGAAAAAAATGTCGTTAATTAAAGAACAGATCACGGGTTAATTCCGACCATCACTGCTGCTTTTATGTTAGGTTTCTGAAAAAATGTAGTAAGAAATATATTGAATGGTTGGTGAATTTATAGAGATGACTGCTTGATATTTATTTCTAGTTTATGCTTATTGTGACCATGGGATAAATTGAGGAGATCGAGTGGAAATGGGTGCTGTGAAGTATGTATCAGTTCTATGTATCAGTTCAATGGTGAATGGCCCATTTTGGCTCATTGGAGAAGATGAATGGGTCCTGTTCGGAATCGAATGAACTTTGCGCTAGTAATCCCTACGTAGTTATAATTTTGGCTTAAAACATCCCTATCTATAAAAAATTTTGTTAGTACAGTCCCTACCTTTTAGAAATATTTGCTAATAACGTCCCTACTTTTTAGAAATATTTGCGAATAACGTCCCTGACTTTTAGAAAAAATTTTGCGAGAGAATTCCCTGTTTTCTTTCATATACCACCTGTTGATACACACCAACTCAAAAGTCCCTAAATACACAATTTTATTACAGAATCTGAGGCACAATTCATCCACCAATCAATCGAAAACTGAAACAAAAATATCCAGTACGTGCTGAAGCAAAAATAACTGAAAACTGAAGCAAAAATAGATACAATTCATTTCAACTGTGCAAAATATCCACTGTGACAGAAACATAATTCCTGAACTTGCTACATTCTCCCAGTTCATAAACACCAAAAAAGGTTCTCAAAGTACTATATTATATCCACTACATGGAGACAATTTGTTCACTAAATAACGAAAACAAAAGCCAAAAAATTAATAAGTGAACTTGGCAGACCCTAGACAGCTTCATCCTAACAAGGTGCTAGAGGTGGTGCCCCTTTGCAGCCTCTCCTATTGTGTCCTGTTTCACTGCACTTCGTACATGTCATTATTAGCCCCGATCTTTTTCGTTGACCTTCCGTTGTTCCTGAAGTTGATTGTGAAGTATTGGCATTTCTGTTGGACTGACTGGACCTCTTCGGCTGACTTGAAGAAGCCATCTCATTTGGCTCTTTTCTTCTATTTTTCTTTGGCGTCCCAGGCCTCTTCGTGTATACCGGTGGAGTGACCTGGGGTAGGCCATGCGTCCGGACCTGTGATGGGAGAAATTGATGGCGTATATGTTCTCATGTATGCATCCTTCTGATAGATGTCATCCACGAACTCCAACACGTTTAGGCCTCTAGATACAACTGAGGCAATGACATGGCTACATGCAATTCCTGATAATTGCCAACCACAGCATGTACAAGTTTGTGCCCTTAAATCCACAGCATGTAGCACAATCCCGACATTGTGGCGAACTTGGAACTTTTCATTGCCTGCGTACTCAGCCCACTCAAACCTTGCAAGTTTACCATTTTTGTCCAAAATCTTCTGAATTCTAGGTCCAATTGCTGTTGTCCACCTATCACAAGACTCTCTACGGGCCACAATTCTCCTCATCAAATATACCCTGATATCCTCCAACATGGTTAAGATCTGCTTTTCTCTTGCAGCCACAATTGTGCTATTAAATGATTCACATAAGTTGTTGAGAAGCATGTCACATTGATTCCACTCTCTAAAGTGGGATTTACTCCAATAGGAAGCTGGTTTTTCTTCAAGCCATCCATAAGCAGCCGGGTCCAAGTCCATCATCCGTTGCATGTGCTGACGCCACTGTGATATAGTAGTGGCCCTGGCTGCATCCCACAAACAGTTCTTCAATGCTGAACCCTTGTGACAGGCGCTGAAATTGTTGTATAGATGTCTGACACACGTCATATGCTCCGAATTCTCAAACAATGTCCCAATTGCATTTGTCAATCCCTTTTGCTTATCTGAAATGAATATCCAATGTTGACTGCTATGTATGTGCAAATCATCCTTAACTCCAAAAATCATTTCCAATTATCCCCATTTTCAACCTCCACAACTACATATGCCACCGGATACATACCATTATTCGCATCAACACCAACTGCTGTCAACAATTGGCCACCAAGCTCTGTCTTCAAAAAGCAGCCATCTACCCTAATCACCCTTCTGCAACCTCGAATAAAACCATCTCTCAATGCCCCAATGCAAATATACAACCATCGAAATTCTCCAGCGTGCCCCTCAACCAATGCAGTGGTCCCAATATTTGTCCTCTTTATCTCCTCATAATAATCCCACAGTAATTTGTAATGCTCCACCACACTCCCTCTAATTTTTTCGAGCGCCTTCTCCTTCGATCTATATGCCTGCCAGGCTGAGATATCACCTAAACCATCTTGCTTAACCCTCTCCATAAATACAGTAACTGACATGTTTTGCTCAGCCCTCCAATCAACTAAATATCTATCTGCCAAATAGGATGAGGTCACCCTGAAGTTCTTGTATACCATGGGACAAGTATGCTCCTCCACAAAAGTTTTGATCACCCAACTTGCCTTACCATGCTCCTTTGTAGCATACAACACCCACGGACAATCTCCCTTACACTTGGCTCTCAATCTACGAGCATCATCCTTTTTGAACTTAATCTCTCTATTGTTTGTAATTGAATGTGAGGTGATTGCAGCCTTTAGTACGGCCTTCGACTCAAATATCAAGCCTGCATAGTCAAAAAAATTCAATGCATATCAGACCTCATGACACTAAGGTACATAAGCAAGTTTAAATTTGAAGTAAAGAATAATGTTCAAGTTACCTGTTTTGAACACTGGATCCTCCATATCTGTCCCCACATTGAAAGTATCATTGGAAGCCCTCCTTCTTGAAGCTCTATTGCCTTCCTCTTTACTATAAATGCTTCGTAAATCATCGGAGTCCCCGTAGTCGGTATCTGAATTTCTAACAGGCTGCTCATTCGACATACCAAATCCGACATCAAAATGAACTCTTTCACTCCCTACTTCAGCAGTATCTACGGGCTCCGGCTCCGGCTCCATCTCATAATCGGATTCCACCAAACCTTCATTTAAGGTTTGCTCGTATTGTGACTACAACTCGTCAGCATTTTCATCAAAATATTTATCTGACCAACTATCTTCAGGCTCATTTCCTTTGTTTTCAGCAACTGAAGGGATATAACAACCTTCAAATGGTTGGTCTTCGTCAACTTGTGAATGTGAAGGATTCCACGGCAATGCATATAATTGCTTTTGGGCTACAACATATATTTTCACATCTAGATGTCCATCCCTATCCCTAAGCATTCCGTTAATATCCTCTTCACTCTCTAGTCTCATCAACTCCTTCCCTAAACTCAATTTTTGCTTCTTATAGTAAAATTGTAACACACTTTCATCACAAGTCCCGTTTAAGAATTTACGCAAATTCACTCTGTTGCACCGTTTAGCATGAAAGAAATCGACGAAAAGAACAGATCCCCCTTCATAAACCACATTGTTTGGCTTATCATAAAATTGGCCCCCATAACGCACTTCGATAGTAAAATATTCAGACCTACCACTTGTAAGCAATCGTATAAAGTTTACATCAAAATCAACCAACAAATTAGAGACGACAGTGACATAACTCAACCTCAACACCAAAAAAAAAAAAATAAATAAAATAAAATAAAATTCCAAACAGATACGAATGCATGTCAAAGGGAGATACGAGTGACAGAAAACAGACATAAATTGGGGGATTGCAATCCGAAATTTTGTGAATGCACACTGGAATCAGAGAAGTTCACATAAAAAATAGGGGATGAACTACATACCATATCTGGGTCGTTCGTCGCCGGGGTTTCTCAAATATGGAAGATACATGTTCCTTGAAGGCCTGCGTAACAACAATAAACACTATCAAAACCTTACATGTACACTTAATCATGCAAAGCACTACAATACGAAATGGAAAACGAAAATACACAACAAGTAATGATTCTTACCCGACGTCGCTTGCTGGACAAACTCCCAACGCAAGCTTCCACTATGCCGGCTGCTGGTATGCGACCATACGAGAGGAGAATGGAGCAATAATTGTTGAAATGGAAGATAAATGAGAATTTTTGAAGAAGCGCGAGAGAGTCGAAGGGAAATGTTCGGGCTGTGAAGTGTGAAGAAGGAAGAAAATGAGGGGTTTCGTTGTGTGAGATGGTTTTACCCCTGCTGACTGGACAAAAAATGATTCTCTTTAATTAACGGCAAAATGGATGGAATTTGGACGGAAGGACCTTCATCGCAACGAAAGGTTGATTTGAGGGCAAAAATACCAAAAAATGAAAGGTAGGGACGTTTTCTACAATGAAACTGAAAGGTAGGGACGTTTTGCGCCAATTATCCATTGGCAATCCCATATAGCTTTCTTGTTTTCCAAGTGATATTTGTGTGTGAGTTTTTGCCTCAGTTTGCTCGTGGACGACCATCTTGGTCTGTATTTGTTTGATAAGTTTGCTTATTTTTTGTTCCACCAGGTCGATTTACCAGGAATTTTATCGATAACCCCCCTCCCTTTGAGTCAAGGTGTTCTCCTTTCTCTTCTACAACAATTGTCTTGCGATATTAGCAAAGAGACACCTCGGAAGCTTACATGGATGCAGGAGATTCTATCTGCCATAAATCCTACTGACCCAATGATTGTGGTGCACATCCGTCCCATATTCGAGCAAGTATATCAAGTATTGAATCACCATCGCAACCTTCCAACCACTAACGGCTCTGAGCTTGCCAAGATTCGCCTGATCATGCATGTCATAAACTCCATGCTCATCATGACCACTAAATGATTACAAGGAAAAGCACCGTGGACTTCTGGAAAATCAAAATATATGTACAAAATTATAGAGAGATTCAAGACAAAGGAACAAGGTGTAAAGCTGAACTTTCTTTTTCGATTTCTTTTGTTTTTCCATTTCTTGCTTGAAATCTGTACAAGACCGAGTGGCCGTTGGGGTTTGTTTTTTCTGTCAGAAATTTGGTTGGATAATGTGCAATTTTTTACTGTATATAACTTTTCCTTTGCAATTTTGTATGAAGTTGTGTTTTTCATTCAGTTTGCAGAATTGCTTCGGGCACTTGGCACTGTGTGCTATTTGCTGAATTGATGAGAAAATGAAAAGCTGGGAGTCGTTTTTATACACTATAAATTTGTCTTCACAGATTATCATATTATAAATATGCAGGCAACACCACCAGCATTGGTCCGTCTCCCACCTCCGGGTTGGGAGAAATCTCGGTTTACCCTGTCGTTACCCGACGTTCAATTCCAAGTCGTAAACTGCCGTCGAATTCTGATCCAACAATGTGGAGTAAGCGTTATGGATCCGACAAAGTCACGGCCATCAGACGAAGTAGAAACTGATGAATTCATGAAATGGGAGGCGGCATCGGGGTGGTACAACTTTGCCAGCATACGGTACGCCGTTTTGATCTCCAATTTTGTCGCATTTTGCTTGACCTTCAAAACCTCGTAAAGGTTCTTCTTGTCCACCACCGCAGCTGAAGACGACGGCGAAAACAAACGTGGCGGCAGTGGGATCGAAAGCTAAAAGAGGATTGAGAAGGAAGGGATAGAAGTGTTTTCTGGTGACCTTTTGTGCCAATATCCCGACTTCTCTCTCTTTAGTCTTTATGCTACTCTTTAAATTGGAAAATTTACTTTCAGGTCACCAACCTTTATGATAAAGAGAAATTGAGTCCTCAATTGTTTTTTAGACCTTAATATCTCCAAAGTTTGTGAGATTAAGCACGTATCTTGCAAAAATTAAACATTGAACATGACAAATTTTCAGTTTTTTTCCTTTGAAGCTACTAAAGGTTAAGACTACCTTTTCTAATTAGATGTGCAGAGGCCATTTTGCGTTCGTATGAAAATGGTGAACTCAAGGTTAATCACTGAATTCTTGGTCAATCGGCTGGTTTCTAGGTAGATTCTGACAAAATGGTTCTAGTGCTGCATATTTTTTGCAAGTATTTGGGATGACGGTAGAAACAAATAGAAAGTTTGGGACCTGCAAGCACCTTTTTGAAAGGTTTGGAATCATGACTGCAATTTTCAAAATGGTTCCCAAATTTTATTCTTTTTTTTTTTTTTATATCCAGGTATCACAGCTTACACTAGATTAAATCCTGGACCCTCAAAACCCTTGCCCCTAGAACCTTGGAGGGGGTAAATCGCGGGTTATGTTTCAACTGGATCACAGGTTCCCCTCACCGCCAGTACATTTCTGCGCACAAGAGATTCTCCCAAATTTTGTTCTTAGGATTATGCTATGTCGTCAATCGTGTTAAGCACTGATTTATGTGGGAATTATATGACATTGAATAATAATTTCATTTAAATACAAAGTCATACGATTCATTTAATTGAGTTTATAAAGTGTAATTACCTAAAATGATGCTCTCAAGTATTACGGTGTTAGATAATGTTATTTAGTGGGGGTGTTTGAGAGCTATTTTTATCTAAAACTGCATTTTAGAATAGTAACTTGATGGAAAGTGTGTGATCGAAAAATAAGGAAAATTTTTTTATTTACGTATAATATTATTTTAATAAAGAATGTGGTTGAAAAAAAAAAGAAAAAAATATATTTTGAAAAAAATGGATAACAAACGGGGCTTTAATGAATAGTGCTGCTTGAACACAGGCTTTTAAAAAGTGTTGCGTTGGTGGCACTTGTGTAGCTCTTTTTTCTTCAAAATGTCAAATGAAATTTTGTCACGTATTCCCTATTTTTAAATCTTGTCATTGAGCAGTATGTGTAACAAGATTGTTTTATAATAATCTTAATTTTGATAATCTATCCTTAGACTACGATAAGATTGAAATACGGTGCGCTATAACTACCGGACACGTGTACACAACATGTTGACACGTGTCGTCCGACATCAATTATAAGAATCAACTGGATTTTCATACAACTCTATCAAAACTAGAAGGCTCAACTAATAATAGACGACTATGGCTGAAGGACAGCAGCTCATAGAGGCCGGTGGCCATCGTCACACCTCCGGAAAAACAGTTCTCTATGCATCACTCGCCGGAGTAGCTATAGGTGGCCCACTTCTCGGCATGATGGGATTCAGTTTCCTTGCAACTATGACGTTGCTTCTAGTAACTTCACCACTGCTAATTTTATTCAGTCCGCTGATATTTGGCGCCGCCTGCGTCGTTGGTTTTGCTCTGTTAGGCTTCGCGATGGCTGGCGCTATGGCGATTGCCGGGATATCGATCGTGTCGTGGGTTTTTCGGTCGCATACTGGCAGAAGGGCTGGGGGGTACCAGGGCGGAAGCGCCGGTAAGTTGTTGGAGGCGGTTGGTGCTGGGAAGGAATGGGGTGGATACTTGCAGCCCAAGAACTTGATGAATCGAGGCTAATCCATTTAATTACGTGAAGAAGTCTTTTTTCCCCTTTTAAATCAGTGATATGTAATATTAATGTTTTTTATATGGTTCTTGTTAGTTTCCTTTTCATTTTGTGGTGCTATAAAATGGACAGTATGAATATGGAACGGTGGAATAAAATTGGATAGAGTTGAGCTTTCGGGATGCCCCTAAACTTTTTTTTTTTTTTTTTTTTTTTTTACATTAATAATTTAATAGCATTTTCAACCACAATTGATTGAGATTGTTCATTTTGATGTTAGAAAGCCAGAATTCAGTTGACGATGAGTGTTACTTTGTTTTTATTTAAAATAAAATGTAAATAAAAGTCAAAGGAAGAAAGAGAAAAAAAAATGGGGACATAAATTAGGGTAGACGAGCCATTGATCGAATCGGACCAACATTGAACCAGGCGGTCTAGTTAGGTTATCTTCTTAATTTAAATTGAATAATGGGTATTGGAATTCAGAATTTAACATATTTTATGTATATCAAGATTTATCCATTGAATAATATTTGGTGTAGAAAATATTGAAACTATGATGAGGACGTTTGAATATATAGCTTTATACTTTTATTACATTGGTCGTGATTTTAGACGTTTTTGTTGACTCGGCTAAAGTTATTAGATTGAACTAAGAAAGTTTTTATTTTACAATCTGAATATGGATTAAATCCAAATTGCTTATGTCAAAATGAGAGTTTTTGAGTTGATCCAAATAGCTATAAAGTAATCCTTCATTTTGAAACAAATGCCACATGGTAAAGTTGGAAGTGGAAATTATAGGAATTCAAGTATCTTTAATACCTCAATTTACAATTAAGAGTTGCAACTTTTTCTTTCAAAAATTAGATATAATTAAAATTCTTAATATTAATAATAATATTATAAAAATTATTTTATATATTTACCCTCACCACAATTTTTCCTTCCAAACCCTAATTATTTTCCAATCTACTCTCTATATTTCACCATTATTCCTTCTCTATACCTTTCACCACCATTAACCACTCTTCTTTCTCTTTACCTTCCATCACTGTCGACGAGGCACTTTTCCTCTACGCTCCACATCGAACACCACAATTTTTCCTTCCAAACCCTAATTATTTTCCAATCTACTCTCTATATTTCACCATTATTCCTTCTCTTTACCTTTCACCACCATTAACCACTCTTCTTTCTCTTTACCTTCCATCACTGTCGACGAGGCACTTTTCCTCTACGCTCCACATCGAACATGGACACCAAGCAAGCAGTGCCGATTATGATTCTTCCTGCTACTCGTGAAGATCCAATACAATGGATGGTAGAGGGTCCATGAGCTTCTGCACCAGCTCGTGCGCCAATTGTGCGCCTCAAAGCACCTTTGTGTAGTTGAATCGGGAAGATGATGTCGCTGTCGAGCACAATGTCCGATGTGATTGCATCGCTGTTTCTTTGTTCGATTTGTTTTGGATGTGCTATTTCTTCCTCCAATCTGCTTTGAGGGTGTTTTTGGCGTGCTTCACTTTTATCTGCTTTAGGTGCTTTAGTGGTATTCTGGTGTCGTTGTGATTTCGTTGGTAGTGTTTGGTTGGTGGTGATGGTGGTTGTGATGTTGGCGACGATGGTGAGATGGTAGTGGTGGTAATGCGAAGGTCGTGGTGCCACAGTGGTGGTGGCTATGGGGTAGTCTTAAGAATGGCTGGAAAATTGATCCTATTTTCCACAATGGCCTTTTCTGTTGAAAGTACTATTTAACCCTTACTATAATTATTTATAAGATGTCCCTGTATCTTTAGAAATTTGTTAATAATGACCTATATTTATATTTTTCAATCTTTTAAATACCTTTAAATATTCTTTATATTTTAGTAGTTCTTCAAAGATTTTAGGCTGATCTTTCTTGGTTATATATTCTCGAACTAATTCTTCTGAAATTTCTTCTTGTATATCTCTATATTTAGTTATAATATCTTCTACTTTTCTTATTTCTCTGCTAGTTCCTACAGAATCAAATCATATATTATTTTTACAATTATAATCTATATCTCTATATATTTCTTCAATTTTTTCTTTGCCAACAGGAAATATATCTTCAAACTTTTCATCTAATTTAAATAAAAACGAAACATCTTTTTCATCTAAAAATAATATGAGATTATTATCATTAGTGGATGTGGATGCTTGTGAATTGTTCATCAGAATAATTAAAGCATAAGCATGTAAAAACAAGTAAATAACTTACAGTAATCAAATGGAAGTAAACAGACTTTCCCTCCAGTATGCTCTTATAGATGCTTTGCATGTACTTAATCAATTTTCTGAATCAAGTAAAGGTTTAAAATATTTTTTGAAATCATTTGGATCCACAACTGCTTCCGCAAAAGGCTTTTCAATTAAGGTTACATTTCTCACTCTAGAGAACTAGTCGTGTTGCCACAGACGCTATCTCACAGTATCCAGAATATCTGTTTTCACCTCTATCCAAACTCTTTTCAAAATCAAATTCTTACTTGGAATGAAATTTTAAAAGATAACTTACACACAAGGTGCTACAATTTTATTAGAAAACCGTCTTTTTCCCCTAAACCATTCATCAAAGACGGGTACTTTGGCATGGCTAACATCCATTCAAAATCAATGTTTTAAAAATCTTTTAAAATCTCTATCTGTACTGCCGAAAAATCATGAGAAATTTAATGAAATCCTTTTATGAAAGTTTTGTTGAACATAACAAACTTTACTTTGATGTTCATAAACTGAAATTGTACATGCTTACAAACTATATTTACATACCTTTGGTACTCACCTTATGAAGTTTAGAACTCCATAAGTGATTACCTTATTACACGCTTTACTATCTTCAAACTATCTAATATTTTTCTGAATACAAGTAGTGTATACAGATTACAAAAGATATCTCTCTAAGATGTGTTTCCTCAGAGTGTTTTGGAGATAAGTTGTTTCGAGATATCTTCCTTCTTCCTCCTTGCCTCCTTTTATAGAAACCTTTGGGAATCTTATCTTGACAGATGTTTTCCACCTTTCTTTGTTAAGTAGTTAAGCCATCTTATCTCCATCGAATTTTCCATTATTTTCTTGCTAGGTGGACCTCTCCTTTTTGAAATCATATGCCTTATTTTTTGAATTTGTCTGCCACTTGTGACAATTGGTGGGGAGTAGTCACAATTATAAAGACTTTTTTTGCACTATCTTCTGTCTTTTAATAGCCACGGTTTTTTTAATAAATTTCTTTATTAAAGTAGTGATAAAGGGCTACTTTTGTCACCATTACTTTTCCATTTTTGAATCAAAGAATTCTGTAGGGAATTCTTCATCATTAAGGGATGCTTGACTCATATCTTCAACTACACAGTATTCACAATGGTGATCACTGTAGTTCCAAAGTAATTTGCATAATTCTTTAGCCATATCTTCCGATTCATGCACTTGGTTAGAAATAATTGCAGATAATAAATGGTCAAGATAACAAATATCTTCTTCCTTGGTGGCCATCCTTGCATTGGAATAGATAATATGATTTTCAGATGGATAAACCCATATTTTTTCATTCTTAGTAATTATCTGAGTTACATGTTCAAATATTTCTTTGTACCCTTTTACTCTTCTGTAGGGCATCATATTTAGAATATCATGAGATCCATTTTTTGCAACCTTTTGATTTGTTGGTAAAAAATGTTGATTTGTAAGTCCCATTTTTATCACATGGAACGATGGATGCATATATTCAAGAACGGGATCCCATTCCATGGTTGTTGAATGGAATCTGATATATATATTTGTTGTCTTGACGACTTCAGTATATCTTTAAACAGCTTTCCTGATATTGGTTGGAAGTTGAGCTATTTTTTTGAGATCTTTGCTAGGATATATAAAAAGTATATTTCCTATTTCAAAACAATTTCGTACCCAGTTGGCTGGTGCTCCTGGATAAAAATTTATCTTGTTGTATTTTGAATAGTGGAGAGTCTTCATCTACTTTCCAATCTCCAGATATCAATCTGATAAAATATTAAAAATAACAATAAAGAGTGTTACTTCTTCATGGTTATCTTTTTTGGAAATTTTTGCTTCATGGCATATCTTAACAATATCTTTTGGATTTATCCTTTCAATAGAAAGTTTAGATTGAGTTTAGCTCTATGAAGAGCTACCTTCTCTTTTGATATCTTGAATATCTTTATTACCAGTAATAGGTTCAAGTTTTCCCTGTGAAGGGGTTCCTGTTGGGAATTTACTTAAACATGCACAGCGAAATTTAACAAATTTCAATTCACATTCAGGATTCAGCTCTGTATTTAGATAAAAACTATGATAAGAAATATACCTTTACTTGTAATTTGCAAACTCCTTCGCGTTATTCCTTTCCAGCAGCTTGAATCTACCTCCCACAGCTGTCCAATTGTCCAACTTCCAATGAAATCCACACAGAGAATAGACTACAACTGCTAGGGTTTCTCTCTTGTGCCAGCATAAATAATGAAAACCTTATGGACCTCAAACCCTAGCTGTGTATATATATAAACCCAAACGGACCCGGTCCGGTCCAATAATTAATTAATCCAATTAATTAAACACAGTTCGTGAATTAATTAATCCAATTAATTAATTCGAGAATATAAATAAAAAATTCAATTAATTAATTTATCCAACGATTGTTAAATTAATCGATTGACAATTTGCAATCTTCCAATTCTCTTTTATGTGCAACCCATTAGGTTCCCGACCACGATACTTAACGTCGTGAAATATTATTTTGATCTAATCAAAATTGATAAATTAATACACCCTTTTAATTTATCGTTAATTCACACTCGCCGTCCCTAATTGACATCTAGCAATGTGTCAGGGCAATACATGTGACGGGAAATGTCACGTGGTATGACAAAACCAAATTCGTTCGTTTACCGTGAAACTATTATCCCTTCGTCAATACGATCCGATCAATTACGAGATATGGAATTGTGTCAATCTCGATCATTGGTCATATCTTTCACTCCACTATTAAGTCAATATAAATTGAAAACTCCTTTTCGACTTATGAGTACACCTTGACCAAGGATTTCATCATCGACTTAATTGAATTGAACGCAGATCATAATCTCCTACTATCTAAGAATGACGAATCCTTTATTGATCAATCACAACCTTCAAAC